CTAATACGACTTAGTTTCGTTAACCTAACCTACTAGGTACGACGTACGTTACCTAACCTAAACCTAACCTACCACTACTCTAACTAAATAACACCACCCCTCCCTCCTCTCTCTCTCTCTCTCTCTCTCTCTCTCTCCAACAATATTTCTATATGACCGAAAGACACACACTTAACCATCATTAGCCATTGGCAACAATCTCATGAATGGTATCACTAACAGCCGGGTCTTCAGACCGCACAGCAAGCTTCATGGCGACCTGTTTGGGGCCATCTATCCCAAATGACAATCTCACGAGTACCTTCACATCACCGATGAACTTCCCAGAGAGCAGGCAAGTGTGAGAACGTGAATTGCTCGGGACCACATCCGTGCCCTTTCAAAAGGACCACACCACAAGTATAAATGTCACTTTGGTCCAAACCTTTGTGTGTGGGTGTGTGAAGAGAGAGAGAGAGGAGGGGGGGGGGAGAGTACAACCAGAAACATCTTAGAAGTAGTAAGCCAAATATGAAGAATAGATAAATAGAAACATCTGTTAGCCAATATAGTGTGAGTGAGAGAGAGAGTGGGTGAGTGAGAGAGAAAGAGAAGGGAGGTGGTGGGGAGCACTAATGGGCAGAAATTCCCTGGTCCCTTTTTGCTTTGATCAAGAAATCGTTAACAAAAAAAGTTGATAGAGATCAACAGAAAGGAGAGAGTAACAAAACGAGGGAAAGCATCTTTGTCTTGATTAACCGATGGCCACCAAGAGGATGAGTGTTGGTAAGTAAAATGAGAGACAGAAATCAAGTAGGAAAATGCATGCAAGTTCCCTCGTCCTTTTTTCTTTGTTAATGTGATGTTGCTCTGGGTGTGCGTGTGTGTGTGCGCGAGAGAGGGAGAGGGAGAGAAGTGGAACTAGAAGAAAACTCGTGTAAATGCAAGCAAGTTCCTGGTCTTCTTTGTACTCTGACACACACACACACACAAAGCAATGGGAAAATGAGAAAATTGTGAAGGCAAGAGAACAAACCAGAGAGGAACTAGAACAATGGGAGAAACAGACCACGGGAAGGCCAGATAAAATCAAATGAGAGAGAGATACGAAGATGAAGGGCAACGAAATTAACCTCACATGGCTGCATTCCAAGGATGTTGATGACAGCACTCACAGCTTCAGCCAAACTCTCTCTCACTCCAAGTCCGTACTCGTCAACCCTTTCACCATCAGGTCCCAAGCTTTCCCATGCATTTCTGAAATTAGACACTCCCACCTTCACCATGTAATCCGCTGCACAAACCTCAAAGTCCTCTAGCTGATACTCGTCCTCGTTTCCTTCTTCCTCTGCTTCCCCAGTAGTTGGATCCACCTAAATAAACAGTACAAAAACAAAAAATTACAATCCTTCACATAATAGAACTATACATCTGTAAAAAATGTATATAATAAGACCATTTACTTCTGGTACAAGGAGATCACAATCTGTATTAACCATTACATGTGCAATCGAGTGGTTGGTTTGATTAGAAAGGAATGTAAAAAATAATAAATTTAAAGGAATCTAAAAATTAATAAATTTTAAGAAATAAATTCAGATAAAGAAAGTTATTTAAAAAAACCAATTATAGTAAATAACTAAAAAAGATATTTCATAGCTTCGTACCAAACAAAAAATATTAACCAACTTAAGAATTAAACAAAAAAGGTTAAAAATTTTAATTTTTATTCGAGTTAATATCTGAAAAAATTACATTCATAAAATAAGGCTTTTCTCCAAAAATGCATTCCTATTCCTATCACTTATGATTCCATTATGCTTTTTTCTTTATTTTCTGAGATTGGTAGTTCCCCGAATCGACAGAAGTGATGAAATGCTTTATAGTCACCAAACCACAAGGTTAATCAATGAGAAATTGACATCATTTCTGAAAATTTAAGAATTTCAAAACGAGAACATCTAGTTACTTTTGGTTACTTATGAACAGAGCAATGTTTTAAAAAACGGTCCGCCTGGCGCCCGCCTAGGCAGCCTGGACCAAAAATCCGCACGCCTAGACCCAGGCGGTCCTACATGGGCGGATGTCCCTGGGCGGGTGCCCACGGCTGTAAGGCCTTGTTCGTTTTTTTATATTGCCCAAAAGGGCCTCAAGGTCTTATAAAAAGGTTATGGGGTTTATTTTTAACCGCCAAAGTGAAAACAACTACAGGGCGCACGCCTAGGCGCTGGGCGCCAGGCAGGCCGCCTAGCGTTTTTTGAAACCTTGGAACAGAGAGAAAGATGAGTATATATTTTGACGTCCAAGTAAACCGATTTAGTGCACTCGATTATTCATTCGACAAATGACATCCAAATTCTACATATGGTGCATGCTCTTAGCAAAGAAATTTGATAGTGAACTATGGATTCTTCTACACAAGCACACACACATAGCTGCAAGATCTAAAACCTACCTTAGTCTCTTGTCTTCTCTTTTTCTGAAGTTGTTTGATTGAAAAATATTAAAGCAATGACTAAAATCTTCATGGTAGGAAGTGAATTCTATCAAAGCATAATACTACACATTGAGTTAGTGTCAGTACCTCCTTAATGAAGAACTTCAGCATATTTGAGAATTTCCCTACAGCAGGAACACCTTCAGGCTTCTCAAAAGACACAAAGGTCTGACCAGGGGAATCATAAGGCAATGATCTCAAAGGCTTAGAGTAAACTTGGGTGAAGTCTTCTGCCTCAGATGCATCCACAAAAACATTCACCTGGAACCAAAGAAGGAGCAAACCATATAAGATGAGAGAGGCTCATATTTGGAAATATGTTTCCAATAAATATTAAAATGTTCCATAGAACCCCACACTCACATTTTCTAGGAGTATTTCAGGAACAGTGTTTGTACAGTTGTACTGGAACACAACATGGCCATCAAAAATGTGCTTCACCACATTGACAGAATACTCTGTTTCCGCTTCTGTCAACTCCACAGGGGCTGAAGACTGTCGGAAAGAGGAAAGAGCAAATAAATATAACATGAAGAGATAGACCTACCCAACGTGTGTGTGTGTCTGTGGAAAGACACTATAAACCAACAGGCTATAGCTACAGTATAAGCCAAGCTCCAAAACACATAGCTAGAGGAGTTCTTTTTTTAAATTTTGCACGCCTTTGATTCCAAAGTTAGACCATTTAAGAATAAAATGATTGAGTTCTTCAAGGCCTAGATCCACTATCCACCCAATGGACAGCCTCCTTCCACGGAAAATAGTGACTATTTTCGCCTATTTTCTTGTCCTCTCTTTGTATCTTTTATTTTGATAGCTTAGATGAGATGTAAATGTGTGCAAATTTTGAGATCCAACAGAACCCTACTTTTTAAAGTGCCTTAAGCTACAGTATAAGCCCATTGGCTCATATGAAAAAATAAAATAAGGCACACAAGTGGTGTATGCCATAAGAGACACTAAACAAGGACATTTTCTCAATGATGGTTGGTGGAGATTGACCCTTGTTCCAAATACAATCAATCTCCACCAGCCATCATTAGGAACCGTCAGTGGGTGACACCATAGACCACTGGAGTATGGCATACTTTCCCTATCATTGGATCAAAATACCTGTACAATGGGCTACTCTTCGTATAAGCTGTGCGGCTGTCCACCCAATGGACAGCCTCCTTCCACGGAAAATACTGAATATTTTCACCCATTTTCTTGTCCACTCTTTGTATCTTTTATTTTGATAGCCTAGATGAGATCTAAATGTGTGCAAATTTTGAGATCCAACAGAACCATACTTTTTCAAGTGCCTTAAGCTACAGTATAAGCCCATTAACTCATATGAAATTCCCTCAAATAAAACAATGAATAAGGCACACACGTGGTGTATGCCATAAGAGATCCAAAACAAAGACATATTCTCTCAATGATGGATGGTGGAGATTGACCCCTGTTCCCAATACAATCAATTTCCACCAGCCATCATTAGGAACAGTCAGTTGGTGACACCATAGACCACTGGAGTATGGTATACTTTCCCTAACATTGGATCAAAACACCTGTATAATGGGCTACTCTTCGTATAAGCTGTGCAGCTCTTTCCATAGTCACAGGAACTATCTCAAGTAGGAATAAAGATGGTAAAAAGAAGGTAGGGGAAGCAGACCTTGAAAAGCCTTCCAAAGGCAGAGAACTCAGGAATGGCAGAAAGCATCTTCTCGTATGCATCAGCAACAGATGTGGGTGCACTTGGAGCAGCAGCCAATCCCGATTGCTTTTTACCAGGGGCTTTCTTTTCAGCCAGAGGTTGAGATTTGACCTCTCTTGGTACAGAGTTGATATCAAAAGGTTCTTCAGAGGGCTCCTGTTGTCCCCAAAAAATGAACAGGATGAAGTTAAAGAATACATATATGTTCATCAGAAGGGAGTATAGGCTTCACGGGAACTCACATAGCTTTGGAGACTTGCTTCCAGGTTTGATAAAGGCAAGTCAAGTGTTCCAAAGAGAAAATCTTTTACATCTTTGTCACTTTCACCAAATTCGCCTTCATCTCCAAGACATTTTAAATAGAGGGTTGCTCGGTCACGAACCTGATTATGTGCATGTATGGGGACAATTATTTTAGTGGGTTGTAGGATCACAAATAAAATGAACAGAATAAAGAGATAAATAATTCTAACAAATAAATAGGGGTCCTCTTTTTGGGAATTAACAAGCATTCCCACCACAAAATACTCATAAATAACAGATTGAGAAAAACCGCACTTGAAGTTCACACTCATTTTGAAGTGATGCAAATTGATTTTGTTGAACAATTTCAAACTGAAAGCACAGCTGCCATAGGATCATGCGGTAATTATAATAATACAGGGACAAATAAAAAGTATCTGCTAAGTTCTAAAATGGAACTGGACTCACCTCATCATCATTGTCGTAAAGGCAACGCCTCAACAAAACAAAGATTCGAGGCTGCATTAAACATTAGCACTACACTCAGGCACTGTAAATAAACTAAATAAGGTTATGAACAAAGCATGATATGACAAAAGGCAATTAATACCTTCAAGGAATCCACCAAAGCTCCAAACTTTGCCAAAGTGCTTACAGCACCGGCCCGTACTGTTGCATTCTCAAGGATAACCCGATTATAAATATAACGTATATATTTACTGGGGTCAGCAGTCTTTGGTCCTTCATTGCCCAGAAAATGAAGTATCTATGAAAGAAGACTGGGGTGTAAATAAACAATGGTCCTAAGCAATATAACTTGATTATAGCTTTTGAATTCTACAGAGAGAAACCAACACTAGCAAAAATTCTAGCACATTGTTGGTCTAAAATATCGATCAAGAAAGTGTAACAGGCATTTACCTGAGTTGAAAGATAAGTGAATTCACAGTCCTCAATAAATTCACAGAGATGAGACAAGCCACTTTCCTTGGCGTCCGGTATATCACGGATAAGGATGAGAATTGAATCTATGATTGCTTTCTTATACTCAAACCCACCTTCTTCTCTAAGAATATTGCTTAGAAAGTTCATCCTGGAATCATTCAGAACAAACAGTTAATTTCTTACAAAGGAAAAGAAAGGCACATACAAATCATGACTTTTTGGAGCAAATATAAAAAACATAATTTAGCCATGTATGTTGCATACATAGACATCTGAGAATATATATGTGTGAGAATGGTCCTATTCATACATTTACATACTCAGATGCGCAACTACATGGTAATATATGAGCATATGTGCGTATGTGTGCTTGCAAGTTTATGTTGACAATGTGCATTAGAAAACCTCATGCACAACAGGGATGGGAATACGCACAGTGTACGATACTTGAGTGGAAATTTAAGACACAGGGAACGAATAGCTTCCACAACAACAATTTTAAACTCATCAGCTATATCAGACATGAAGTTGGTAATCTGCTTCATCAGGCGATCAACGCTTGTTTCATTCCCTGTTTTCAAGAGAGTAGTGATGGCAAGGGTAGCAATACTTCTGTTTTGGTCTGAAATCAAGCTTTCCATATCGATATTACAGTTTGTAACCGCCAGGGGATGCGTCATGGCCACCTGCATCAGAATTGTGCAGGATATCAACATACTGCTACGCATCAGAACACATACACGCATATGCACAGTTCATGGAATTTTAGAGTGACACTTCATTTGAGGGTGGTCGTTTTGCTTAATATCATGATGTAGATAAGGCAGTTTCTATGATTCCATAACTAACATATAGAATCCAATATAACGGGGTAAATAGAAAAATATTGGTATCCAGTACAATGCAGATAGGACTTTCAGTTGTTCAGTCATGTATTGAGCTAGCCATGAATAAGTAATATCCAGAATCCAATACAACTGGGTAAATAAAAAAATTTTGGTACCCAGTACAAGGCACATTGGTGGTGTTTTGGTTTCTTTTAATAAATTTAACAAAAAAAATGAGATGGGAATTTCAGTTGTTCAGTCATGTATTGACCTAGCCATAAACCTAAAAATGCACATGTTTTGCAACAATAGAAAGGGTGTAATAAAGAGAAATAAACCTAGGGCATTAAATTTACCATTTTTAAGGCACAGGGACATTTTTTGAAGGGTAAAATAATTCAATATAGAAGACCAAAATGAAAGAAAACACCAATTTAGGTATCAATTCTTTTATTTTTTGTCTTTAATTTTCATGCTTTAGGCATCAATTTCAATTAAATAATTCCTTTTATATGTTCAATGACATAAATGATTCAAGTCATCACTATGGTATAACTGAAACTCGTACAATAGTCATGTATGTGTCGGGTTTATGTTTTATGCATTAGACAACCATATTTACAAATTTCAAAGATGTTTATAAACTATTAACCATAAAAAAAAATGGAAAAATAGTTTCTACTAGTATACTTTTCTATACTATTATACCACAAAAGAATTTTCTTATTCTGGAATATAATATATGATCCATCAAAGAACCCATCATTCAAGGAATTCATACAGGCTTCATATTTCTATGACGTGTCTTAACAGTCATGTAGCCCTTTCAACAAAATCATCATCATCATCTGAGCCTTAACCCAACTATTTGGGGTCGGCTAGCCCTTTCAACAAAATAAATGAACAATGACAGATGGGTGCATAATAATACTCTCTCATCCAGAGATAACAGCTTACAATAATGTTGTTTTTTACATTAAAACAAAGTCAAGTTAGGCTACCTTGTTTAGAGTACGAACAGCAGCAAATCTAAGCACTGGTTTGGATGAACTCAGAAATAGCTGTAGAACTGTGATGGCCGGGGTCAACTCTCGAACTGTAACATTTGTGAGCTCTGTTATGGCTCTTGCTGCTTCAAAAATCACCATTTCTGCTTTGTGTCGAAGACAACCTTCAAGAAAGTCATAAAATGGACGATCTCCTCCAGCAGTGTTATTGCTGGACTCTCGTATCACCTAATACCTAACCAATATTAGAATACAATAGCTTCCCATCACAGTGTCCTAACTTTTATTCATAGTCACAAGCAAATACCTGGCTTGTATAACGAATCAAAAGACATTGGGCCAATGGTGAGCGAACTGTTCCCCTTGTTAAGCTGGTGACCAGCTTGCTTACAGCCAGCCGATCATTTTGCCGGATCTGCAAGTTAAATGACAGATTAAGGAAAGCATAAGCCTTGTTTCAACTAATAAACAAACAAATTGTTATAATAGAAGCTTTCCACCAAGATTATATCATTTGATATTGCAGGCATTTTCAAAAATCCATTCAGGTCTGGAAATTAGAGAGCATACTAAGACGAACCCTCTAAAGGAATAATCCAACTACTCCCACATAAATATATCTGTGCTAGTAAATACATAAGCACATGTCAACTCGTGATATCATTTGATTTCAAGTTTTCAATTAACTTCCGGTCTCTCAAAGCTTCTTTATCATCCTATATCCTGGCCACCTTCCACTTTAGGCAGCACCACTCTTCTACTATGGCTTGGAAACCAAGAGGATCCAGCCACATGTGCTCATCAAACCAAATGAGCCTCGAGCTTGCACCACACAAGCAAGACTCTAGCAGGATGGAAGAGTAGACAAACATTAGTTGTGGTATAACTCATTGTTATGCTTCCCCAGAAGTGCCACTATTAGAGGGAAGATAGAACAAAGCATTCGAGACTTCTGAGAGTGAGAACCACCCTCCCCCCTGCCTGGGGACCTCTAATCCAGACCTGTTGATTCAAAGTTTATTTCTAATTTTTAATTTTACTTTTAGATATGTGAGTAGACTTTTTATCTTTTATTGGGGTTAATTTTAGTAATTATCGCATAGAAGGGTTGAGGTTTATCAGTAGGGAAGGAAGGAATAAAATGAGGAGGAGGTTGTTTTAGTAGGAAAAATCTTTTTAGAAGGATAAGTTCATTTTTAAGTTTTTTTTATGAGTTTTAGGAAGACTAATAGAAAATAGGATTATTTATCGTTTAGAATAAGAATGCCTTAGTATAAGGAAGCTTTATCTTTAGTTAGGGACATGAAGTAATAGGAAGTTGTCTTTTCAGGTTGGTGGGATGGAACAGGCAGGTTTTTTTTTTAACATGGAGAACCTTTATAAAAAGGTGCACATCTCATTGTAAGGTGGTTTTGATTATGTTTTTGTATGAAAGTAGGTTAATGTGTATAGAGAGAGTTTTATTCTCTTTATTATCTCTTGGTTGTGGTGCCTGGTGCAGATCTCAGATGTCCATGTTTGTGCTTTTCCTTGCATATTTTCTTATCAGTTGCTTGTTTCTCTCTCTAAAATGCAACTATATTTGCCGGTTGTTCGCTGCCGGTGATTTTCAGCTGCGTCAGCCTTCCCACACACAAGAAAAAGCAATGGAACCAAAATAACCTCAAATCTAGCAAGTTAGGGGAGTGGCTTGCAACCAGTCGTGGAAAGACTCATTGCAGTGCTTTCTTGAAAGTATCGCAGCAAGGCTTTCACGAACGGACCTCAAAGTCACTCGACATTGGGAAGCGATCAAGATGCATGAACAAGGGACAATCAAGCCCTATGAGCATGGGACCAACAGAAGCTCCCTTTGTATCACCCTTGGGCACAGTCAATGCTAGATGCCCAGATCTTATAGATATTTGCTGGACCACTTGGCCATTATGATTCTAGTAAATGGCCATATTATAGGCCTTAAACATTAGTCTGGGTATTGTATTGTGTGACTGAGAGTGAAGGGTGATCAAATGTGTGAAACGTGACACATCAACCACATAGGCTAGCAGATATATGCTTACACATCTTTTCATACGTTCTAATGGATAAGCTCTGTCATAGCAGTGGGGTACAAGAGGAGAGCTTAAGCATTGCTATGGGACCTACCCCACTCTCTGAAGACCTTGGTTCTGTGAACGTGTGAAGGCCAATAATACTATAAAACGTATATTTAGTAACTCTATTATAAAATATGATTTATAATGTTTTTGAGAAACAACAGAAGTTGGCTATCACACCAACTCAACCGTGCACTAAAAAGAAAATTTGTCTACCAATATGGATCTATCCACTACTCATCACACCACCTATCAAAACTAAAGCTAAAATCCATCACACCTGGTGAAGTAGCGCCAATGCATGAAACTGTACAAGGGCAGCCCTGGATTGAACTGCTTCTTGGACCTCGTTACTCCATCTTTTCACAATTTCTGGATTTGTCTGGTTGAATCAGAAGCATAATCAGATTTACTAAAAAAGCAAAAATATGTTGTACTGCCAATCGTGATCCAAATTATTACAAGCCAAATAAACTTGGCTTGCACAATGAAAAATAGTTCATACCTGAAGCAAGTGAATTCCACTAACAAGTGCAGCACTAGCGACAACAGGGTTCTTGTCGACAATAGCCTGCTTTAAGTATCTCTCAATTTGACCCAATAGTGTCCCATCTGTAATCCTGCATAGCACCCGAATAGCATTGGCCCTATACATATCGGTCTTACTGTTCATGTCCTTCATCAGTGAGCTAGTGACAATAATAACCTGTCAGTTATGACAGCAAAATTAAGGATGTCAGTGTGGAAAATTGCCATGTGGTGACCATTCTCTGGCACAATTGAGTAACAACAATTCTAATATTAGAAAAAATCAAGTGACCTCATCTGCAGATGGGGAAAGTTCCTTGATAATCAAATAAACCATTCTTCTCAGTCCCATATCCTTTGACTGAAAAAGCTTTGTCACCGCAAAAAAAACCTCCGTAGCTTCAATCTACCAAAATTCAAGGAGCAAGGTCACTCGTGGTTCAGAGATTTGCAAGGAAAAAGGTAAAACATGAGGATTAACTTAAATGAGAGAACACAAACATACATAAAACAATTGATCCGATGAACAAGAATTGGAATTGATACTGAACTAACCTTTGTAAAAGTTTCTCCTTGATTGAGTAAGTATAGGAGTTTTGTGATGACCTGGATATCATGTGATTAAAATTTTGATCAATAAAAAGACCATGATAATATTTCTTCTAGCCAACATTTAATAGGAGGGACAATATTACAACTTGATAATCTAAACAGCCACCAGCGGCAACAACAGTAACAATGAGATGAACAAACCTGAGAGCACCTCCTTGCATCAAGTTGAGGATCATTGAACACCCGTGCTTCTTGAAGAACTGCTCCCTTCTCGATCCCAAGAAATGGTGAATACTCAGCTGAGAGAAAATACAAAGATGAGGACCATACCCATGAAACTCCTTGTTTTTCATGGAAATAAAAGAATTTGTTAAACTACAAACATCAATAATTTTCTTTTTAGAAAAGGATTTGTGTATATTCATCCTCTTCTAACCATAACGAAATAAAAGCAAAACCTATTCATCTAGCAAAAAAAGGAATAAAAAAAGGAATTTCCAAAAGAGATACAGATATTACAAATTTACAAGATTACAGTACACTCTAGCTTCCATAATTTAGTTGATGATTGGGATTTTAATAAAAATAAAGAATGAATAGTTCTCAGATGATAATAACCAAAAATTTCAAGCGTAATATGGTACCCAGCGAGTTGGTGGATTTGCTAGCTTAAGGTAAGATTCTCAATAGTAATCATTGACACTGACACGAGTTGAATCCAGAAATTTGTTCTTCAATTTATTTACTTGTTTTGTTCTTTAATTTTGCTCATTAAAATCACAAATTCAGATCAATTGACCCAATACCACTTATTTATGCTTGAACATTCACTTATACAGTAACAAAATTTTGTCATTGATAACAACTTAATAAAAAAAGAGAAGAAAAAGTAAAAAGATGCCCAATTTCAGACTGAATGGATTGTTAAACCATAAATTAAGTACGTATAGTCGCCGATACATGTGTCATGCTCGTAAGAAATGCACAAAAACAATAGACAGTTAAATAATTTCCCCTTGTAAACATAATCATAAGCATTGAACTTCCACGGTAAAAGAGGATAATAGAAACAAAATAGACACCTGACGAGCTAAACACCCTAGATTTGTTCAATAAGCATAAGAATCAAAACCTATGATTTTAACTCGATATATGCGTTAACTAGAAGCCAATGCATACATAACACTAATGTAAACAGATCATTTAGGATCAACTGCATAATCTGAGGATCTAGAGACAAGATGTCTAATGCTGCTGGAGTGAGATCAAATAAGCTAAATTCTTTGTAAAATTAAACAGATAGCAAAAACAAAACCCTAGCGCATAAACAAGTAAAGACCAAATTTCACAGCAAGCAAATTTCCAGATCAGATCCATTCAAATGAACAATTCATACTACACCTAAACAATCGAGTAGAAAAAACCCTCGGATCTGGGACTAAAACCACTACTCTCACATTTCAATTAATAAAATCACCGCAAAGCAACAGTCTATATTCTCTCATGAGCCTTTCATTTCTTTAAATTGAGATGAATAAATCCTGAAAAAATGGAAATTCTGAACAAAAGTTGCAAAAAAAATCAACAAAATCGCTGGAATCCAGACCTTCATCGTCTCTATCATCGTCCTTCTTTACCAGTGGCTGAGCCATGACCGGAACGGAGAGGAGTTGCAGAGATCAGCAGCTGGGATTAGGGTTATGGTTTTGGAAATGGCGCTCCTTCTCCACTGAGTTTGCTGGGAGAGATAGAGAGAGAGCTTTGCTTTCTAAACATGTAAGAGAACTGTGTGTTTTGATCTTCGAAGGAAAACAGGTTTTATAGTACATACGTGTGCTGCCATTTGAGATCTAGAAATGGTGAGTTTTGTCTGAGGCAAAAATACAGGGGACGCACTTCTACAACAACGTCCCCTGACGCAAGTAATACCCATCTTGTTGATGGACGTTAGAAATAGTTGCGTCCAAATAATTAAAATAAACGGTGCACGAATTGTAGAAAAGGAAATTGTTTTTTATTTATTATATTTGATTTTTTCAGGGTTCCTACTCGATTGAGATTTTCATTCTTTAAAATTTTTAATCTAAAATCTATTTCTAAAATAAATTTCGAAGAGAGGACACATTTAAATAAATAAGTCAGCCAACTCATGGAAACCTAGTCCTTTGTCTAAAATACATATAATCAAAAGAGCCGGATAGGAACCGGCTGATTCCCACTAATCAGGAAACAACCCATTCACGTTAGGAATAGGACAGTTTTAACCGGTTTTTTGACAAAACCAATTGGTATAATTGGTATCAATTTTATTTTAAATTTTTCAATTTATTTATTCAGAAAAAAAGTATTGCCTTGTTCACTCAAGCAAATTGCCAATCTAGACCGCCGATTCATACCAGTTTCCCTATAAGCAATCTAGGTCACCAAACCATTTTTTTAAAACCTTGATTGAAACAATATGTAACCAAATAATATAATCTTTTGGTACCATTCTCTATGATTTCTCTTTCTAAAGGTGAGTTTGTTTTTCTGAAACTATTATTTCAAATTTTGAAAAAGTTTTGTGTTTGTTTCACACTTTCCATCTAAAGTTCGAAAATTAATATTTGTTCTCATTCCATTGTTAAAAAATGAAAAAATAAATTCCTAGGACGGATAAGAATTAATATTTCATAACTTTTTTTTGTTAATCACTATTCACTATGCATAATATAAATACATAATATTAGTATTATTAATATGATATAATATTACTATAACATAATATTATATAATACTTTATTTTATATTATTATATTATACAATTACATTTATTTTATTAATTTAATTTATATTGTATAGTTTATAATTTTATATGAATTATATATAATATATAATATGGTATAAATATCTTAAATTATATTTTATATTTTATATAATGCATTATATTATATAAATATCTTACATTAGATTATATATAATATATATTTATTATATTGTATAGTATTCATATTATTATATTATATATAATATAATAAATAATAATATAAATATCATACGAAAAATGACCACTAACCCCATCCCTGAAATTTCCATTCCTATTAACCCCATAGGTTAACTAAAACCCCTTAAGTTTTAAACTCATGGACCATTACTTTTTTTTTGTTCTTTTTACAATTTTGATGTCTTTGTTTTACAAAATGCCAAACCCATACATTAGTCATTCATACTTTTCCTTGATATATAAATTTTTATTTATTATAGTAGTTTTATAATTATTA